TTTGATTTTAGACTTCCCTTGTGTTAGAATGGCTCAATAACATTTTCTTTCTCATATCTCATATATCTTCTTTTATTTAGTGGTTGGTGGTTAATCTGTTATGAATTAGAGCCATATTGATCTGCAAACCTTTACACAAGGTGCTTTGGCAAAATATTGATTTTAATCTACTATGTTAAGGGCACCTAAACCAGGGTCAACATAACCTGTTGTGTCCTGTTTTTCTGCTGCATCGTTGTCGCCTGTTTGAATATCTTTTCTCACTTGTTTGAAGAAAACATGACTGAAGAAGATTTGCCTGTGTGCTCCACAGTCACATTTTATGACTAAGAAACTGAAGAATCTGAATCCAGATCCATGTATAAAAAAGTTGCTAGTTAGCAAGTGCAGTCATTTCAGTAGCTAAAATTGATGTTCATCAACCCTGAGGGGAATGGCCAGCTGAAGGGGAGGGAATGTAGTGGAAGTAAACAAGTTCACTGTGTTATAAAAGCAGGTGGGCATTTCCAGCTCCTTTACAGCACCCAGTGAACTACCGTGGGCACTTGTTGTTAAACCATGCTACTGAAGTGTGCCACTGTTTGCCTTGTGGCACTGGCCTTGCTTGGCCTCTGTGATGCTCAGGGTGGTTTTGTGCCTGGGGTGTGGGCTCCAGAAAGCCAACAACAAAAACAAATATTTGAAAAACCACTCACATGGAAATACCCTGAAGATCCTAAGCCCAAGCCCAAGCCTGATGTGCCGTTCCAGCTGAGATATCCTGTTTCTGCTTCAAGTGTTGCTGTTGATTGCAGGGAGGACATCGTTCACGTGGAAGTCAAAAAGGATTTCTTTGGAGTTGGCCAGCTGATAAATTCGGCTGACCTTACCCTGGGTTCATGCGCTGTTGTCGGAGAGGATATACCAGCTCAAGTGCTGATTTATCAAGCTCAGCTGCAGAATTGTGGGAGCACATTAAAAGTATGAAGAATAAATATTACATTATTGTGAAATTTAATTCAAAAGCTGGAAAACAGGTTTATGTATAATTTGACTTGTTTTGTATATATATGTTTGCTAGATGACTGGAGATTCCTTCATCTACACCTTCACACTGAACTACAACCCCCAGCCTGTGGGTGATTCTGCTGTGATTAGGACCAACAAAGCAGCTGTAGTTGTTGAATGTCACTACCAAAGGTACGTAAACATTTGGGAAGATTTGTTAAGATAAAGACATCAAAACAATAGAATTATATTGGTATTTAATGTGCTCTATAGTAGAACCTAAATATTTTTAGTAATCTAGAATTGACCAAATGTAATCTGGATATTTCAGTGATATATTATTCTTGCTTTAGTTTTTTGCATTTTTGTAAAACATGTCCTGTCACTTAGAAAGCACAATGTAAGCAGTCTCGCTCTTGATCCCCTGTGGGTCCCATACTCTGTGGCTAAGATGGCACAAGAGTTTCTCTACTTCACCCTGACACTCATGACTGGTGCGTTTAAGATCAGTTTCTCAGTGTGTTTTATATTGTATGCGACCTTGATTCAAAATACATACTTGTTTGAATTATAAAATCGTCATGTCTTGTTTCACAGAGGACTGGAAAAATGAGAGGCCAAGCAACCAGTATTTCCTGGGTGACGAGATTAATTTTGAGGTCTCTGTCATGCAGTACCACCATGTGCCGCTCCGTGTTTATGTGGACAAATGTGTAGCTACCGTTTCAGCTGATGCAACTTCTAGCCCCAGATATGCATTCATAGAGCAAGGGTAATGTAGTTTGATGAGATTATTGACGTTGTTTTGTATATTAAGACCTGATTATCACAGATGCCTATGCTACTGGTTACTATGGTCATTTCACATTGTTTTCTTGTGTGCAGGTGTATGATTGATGGTAGGCTCACTGGATCTATCTCGAGGTTCCTGGATCGCACTGCAGAGAACAAGCTTCAGTTCCAGCTTGAATCCTTCAAGTTCCAGAATGATAACGTTGGAAAAGTATGCAATTCCAAATTTGAGTTACTGAGTGCATTGTGTTATATTTTCAACAACATTACTAATGTAGAACTATTACATAGAATAATAACATAAATTCTCTCCTGTTCTTAGCTGTACATTACCTGCCACTTGAGAGCAACATCTGTTGCCCAAGTCATTGACAGTAACCACAGAGCTTGTTCCTACATCCGTGGGTGAGTCTATCTTTGTACACATGTATCAATGATCATTAGACCAGAACTGATGTGGCGATACTGCTTACATTTCCATTTCTCCCAAGGTGGAAAGAAGCTGCTGGATATGATGGTGCTTGTGGCTCCTGTGAGTCTTTAACAGGTGGGCAAACTGGTATTGGAATTATTAGTGGCACTACTGGAGGTGGACATGGTAATATAGGCACGGGAAGTACAGGAACAGGGACTACAGGCACTGGAACTGGAAATATTGGTGGCGGAACCCCGGTAAACCCGATTAAACAGGTCTCTTGGTTAAGGGGGACACGGGACGTGTCTCAGCAGGAAGGTATGTGTTTTAAAAAAATATAAATATTGCAACATTTTAGTAGAGGGAAAGTTTCATTTCAGTTGGTCCTACAAAAAGATAATTGTTTTATGCTTTCTATTTTTTAAGTAAAAAAAAAAACCCCACAATGATGCATACTGCAACAATTCTTCTTTCTTTTCTCAGTTTTGGAATGGGAAGGAGAAGTCACCTTGGGTCCCATCTCCATTGAAGAGAAGAATATAGCTTAAAACAATTTCCTGCTATAAACACGGCAATTAAAATGAACTTCATCTGTGGTTCATGCCTGAACATATGTTAATTTCATTCTTCTTATTCATAGCTCACAACAATATAATAAGGCATCGAGGAATGAAAAGGTCCTTCACTGAAACGTAACTCATTTTACATGCCCCCTTTCTGTAATTACAAATGTTTTATATGGAGCTCGTGTATCCATGGATTGGAACTATTCACATGTAATGGAAATAAAAATGCAACTGTCTGAATTTATTGTGTAATTCATTCAGAACTTTCTTAAGCTGTGCATTGGCTCTATTGTAAATTGAAACAAAAAATAAACTCTAGAAATTAAGAAACATTGAATAGATATAATAACAAATATAATAAGTTAAAAGAGCAATCAGGGGTTGAGCAAAAATGACTCAATAGCACATGTTAGACAATATAGTCATCTGTCTTGTTGTATTTCTGTCGATATGCATGTTTTTAGGGTAAAACAAACAAACAAAAAGGTAAAACAAATCAATATCAATATCATATCACTCAGAAATCACAAGTGGATGAAGGAAGAAGCCATTCACAATCAGCCCCAGGCCATATCCTCACAGTGCCTGCTGATTGGTGCCCTCAGCCTGTCATCACAGACAGCACCCAGAACTCAAACACAACCAGCAAACACACACAAGTAGCACAGAGTAATAGAAACATTTTTGCTAAATATGAGAAATATACACCTAACAGTGAAAGAAGAAGAAGCCACTTGAAGAGGCCTAACTCACATCTTCTCATTTCCCCTTTCATTCAACATC